TATATATTTAAGAAAATTAGTGAGTAAAGGTTAAAATTTTTAATACAGTTAGGTCATGCATTTGTCTTTGATGTCTCTGCCGTATACAGTGCTCCAAAGTGATTTTTCTCATATGTGCTAATCCACAACCATAGCCATCAGTATCTAATTTGAGAAAAATCCCATAATTGCTCCACCAATATTGCCAATCATGTTAAAATTTAAATAATGTAGTCTTCCCCTGGACTTTTTCTTGCTAAAACATTTATGCTCTTAAACATTTATGTACTTGCAGGTGCATCACACTCTTTATTTGGAAGTTGATTCTGACACTTTCTGCATTCATGGTTACTATTAGGGCTGGTATCAGTTCGGTAACCGAACCGAACGTGTTCGGTTTCACTAATATTCAAACCGAAACTGAATCGATAAGAATTCGGTAACCAATTTTTCGGTTACCGATAAAACAGTTCAATTTCGGTTTATACAGATAAAAAACGAAAAAAAAAAAAATACAACAGAGGAAATAATGGGTACTGGTTAGAGTACAGATTCTACTGAAGGCCGATTATTTTTATCTTGTTAATGAATAATGGGTGGCAGTGTGAGGGCTGATGAGTTTTTCTTTTTCTTTTGGTTGGAGTACTGATTCTACTTATTCTTTTTCTTTTATGTTCTATATATAACAGCTACAAAATAATTTTCATACGATTGTCTGTGAGAAAATTTTGAACAAACAGAAATTAATCATAACAAGATAAACTAACACAATGCAGGACTTGATGATGGAGATTGGTGCCAGTGCCAAGTTCATCATATCTTAAATAGTTTAAGCTCTTAAAATGATTTTTATTCAACATATATCTTTTGCGGTTCCTATAGTCTTATTTCTTTTAGAGTTGTTAAACAAGTAAATAAATCCACCACTATTAAATGTTTCAAAACAACTGTTTGATTTGTTATTCCTTTATTTTATCAACTATGTCCAATGTTCAATACTCTCTCTAATTAATCAAGTTGAAAACAAAAAGTGTAATTAAGCCTAAAAGATGGTCTAGCGAGGAAATTCTTCAATTTCTCAATACCATAATGATAATCTAATCAGACCTCCATTACTGATAATAAGCTTCCAACTCAGATACAATAACCTTCATTATTGATGAGTTTTTCTTTTTCTTTTGGGCCCTGCTCTTTTATTCACATGGTTTAAAAAAAAAGAAAAGAAAAAAATTGAGACTAAGATTGATTAATTATTAAGTTATTAACTATTACTATTATTTTTTTTTAATTCCTTATTGGTTCGGTTAGGTAAAATCGAACCTTTAGGCTCCGTTTGTTTTGAAGGATTTACTGAGGGAATTGAAGTCCATAGATTTCAAATTTACAAGTTCAAATGCTCATGCATGTTAGGATGACAATGGAAGTTGGAGGATTTCAAATTCATGCTAAACATTTTTTAGTCATTATTTTGAAGGATTTGAAATGACTCCTCAAACCTAGTCATTTGAAATAACTGTTTGACGACCATGCCGTCCTCGATCATTTAAGTTCATCACCACCGCGAGTCAACACTATTGGTGCGAGCTAGACAATTTATTTATAATATTTTCAACATATTCATTCAAGGAGTGTGCAAGTAAAAAAAATTTATATTCAAAAATTTTGAAATCAAGGGATTTCAAATCCCGCAAAACAAACAGAGCCTTAGGGTTTCGGAACCGATACCGAACCGATAACGTGTCAGTAACCGATAATCGATTACCATTTTAAATGCGTCGGTACGGTTCAATTTTTTTTCTCGTCGGTTCGGTTTGGTTCCCCCTGAGTCTCATCCTAATTACAAATTCCCCTTGAGATTTGTATTTAGCAAACAAGAGTGCGATTTGTGAAACATGGCCACATCTGCTCCAAAGCAGCCGCGAAACACGGCCACATCTGCAAAGTTATTACACATTTTCCAGTACAAGTTTTGTGACATAGAAGTAGTTAATAATAGGAAAAAATTAAGAACCTAATTCCTAAAATTTGTTCCTGAAAATACTAATATTAAGATGCATCAAATTCACCTGTTTTACCTTCCATTAGAGTCCCTCAATTGATTATCCAGTTGTTCCTCAGTATCACATGTTTTACCTAAGAAAATGAGTTTTAAACACGCCTATGATTCATATATGTAGCACTTTGACACATTCGACAATCTCATCTCTTCAGAATATACATAGTGCTAATATTTTGTTCACTATACAAGCTTTTGGCAATTCATAATATACTTAAACTCCCCCACCACCAATTCGAACCAAAAATAAGGAAAACAATAAGAGATGGTAATTACAAATAGAGGATATAAACGAAGGCAAAACAGAAAGAACAAGGCTATGGCCACTTACTGTATTCATGTTCATCCATTAACAAATTCTAATTGTTCAGAGTATGGACTAAATACACATACACACAGCTGCCACCTATTATCATTCTTTCCATCACAAACAAGAGCAGATCACAAATAGCATTACATTTTTAAGTAATACCCATGAAACTTTATCTATGAAAATGTGCTTCAAAACACTGAAAAAAACAATAGACAAACAAATACAGGCTAATCTAAGCACAAAACGAGGTTACACTTACAGCGAGCTTTCTTCTTGCATACTCTACAAACCTTTCTTTACGCATTTTCTTCCTTACAATATAAAACATCTCCCCCAGCATAAAAAAGTTTGTTAGATAACATCATTTTTATCAGCTTACATTTTACTCACAAAAAATAAATCAGAACGAAACACCGTTACATGAATAGTATGCTAAAAGGATGACAAGAATCTTCAGCATTGAAATGGGCAGACACCCTTACATGAATTGAAGTATTCAACCAACCAAACCACAACTAGAAATAACACTCCAAAAGGTGAAGGCATACATTAAAGCATACTTAAAAGTTCAAATTTACATGCAACGTTAAAGCAGCACATCAGAATTTGAAGGAGGCCATCATTTTTCATAGACATCACTAAAGTTCTTGCAATCCATCTCCAATCGAACCGTTACCTACAAGAAAATGATAACATTATCAATGACAGTGAATATATAAAGATGAGAAGTAAAGGTTAACATCAATTTACCTAGTCGTGTTGCTAACAGGTCTCTAGTCATTTGCACTAAGGTCGACTCGCATGAAATTTGTGTAGGAAGTTGACCAAGTCCTTGAAGTCAGTTTTTGTTTAGGTAAGGGATATTATATCGATGTCCTCCTCCTAATTTCATGATTTCTTTCCTACATAATTACAATGTCAGCCACACGAAATTGAGCTTGATCGGTGAATAGTCGGAGAATGCCTTCTCTACCGCACTTACAAGCTCAGGGATATTCCTTGCGCACATTTTTTGTTGTAGTGACTATATGGCCTTAAAATACCTAAGGTCAAGTATATTCAAATCTGGAGAATTAGGGTGCTGGCAAGTTAATCGAATGTCAAAGCCATTGTGAAGTTGTTGCTACAAAATCAGGGTGATTAGGAAGAACGTGCGTCCTAGCATTGTCCTATTGGACATAAATAAGTTCTCCATAATCAGAGCTAAGCCATTTCTCAATAATAGATGGGATAACCTTTTCAATCAAGAACGCTTTCACATTCTCTCTTTTAACAGATGTGATCGCCTTCATCTCCATTGTGCCAACTTGTCTGTTCCTGCTATTTCTCTGGGCTAGTTGCTCTGTGACAAACGCCCAACATCCTACTTTGCCCGAAAACACCACCCTTCCTTCACCATCAAATCTAGGACGAGTCGTGGGTGCTAGAAACATAACTTTTGCAATGTTATTTTTACTTTGGCATAAACGATGAGGATCTTCTTCATTGTCGAGTAGGTAATACGTTTGCTCCTTCTTTATCAAGTAAAACGATTTCTCGTCGATATGCACATTGTTATACATTCCCTTGAACTTTGGCTCATTCGACATTGTGCTTTCATCAAGCATCGATAAACAAAATTCTAGCCACGATATTTTATTTTCGTCTTTCAAATGTAGCTTGATGGCACTTGAGTGACGACGTAGAACGCCTCGCTTAAAAAGTCTATACAATTTGGACTAACTAACTCCTAAAGTATTAGAAAGAGGTGCAAGTGTTGTTCGTTGATGCCACTCCATCTGTTGAATCCTACTTAAATCTACCTCAATACGTTTACGACCCGTGCCTTCCTCGTTGAAACATCCACATCTGAGCCTGGTGACATTCTCTTGTGAATTTTCCATACTCTTTGAACTGTTCGGAGCTCAATATTGAACATATCTTTCACTGCTTTTGTTGTGTTCTTTTTCAATTTACCATTTACACTGTTCTCCAACAAAGCATGGTAAACTGCCCACCTTTCAACGTCAGTTAGGATCATGTTCTTTCTTCCTTGAACATTGCCTATTAAGAAAATGGTAACCAAATTTAACATAGAGAACCAAGCAATGGAACTATGAAACTGGAGATTGTTTAAAGTTTGGAAGTGAAGTTAAATAGAGAATTGTAAATTTAATTACTTGACATCAAAGATAGTTTTGACTGCTAGTGACTAGAGTTTACACGGATACTGCAACAAGGGAAACAGAGTTGAAACTTACAATATCTTACCAATAGAAACCTAGAATATGCTAATAAAAATTTGTATATTTGCAGAAGAAAACAAAAATACCACTAACTCACAGGTCACAACAAGACCACTAGAAACTTTCATATATGAATCCCCAGATAACATACTGCTATCAAACCATTATCATTTTTGCTTTTTTGCTTTTTTATCAAATTCTCTACAAGCATACATCCGCATATACATTACACTTTAAACTAGCATGAAGCACATAACTAACAGCACAATAAAATCCCAATATTTTGCTAGAGAATGCACCACACAGTGAGCAATCACGTTAAGGTCATTTGGAGAAAATAAAAACATCAAGCAAGCAGAAAAAGTTGATATCAATAAAACTCACCTTGGCTTGTTTCCCCTGCTTCACCATTCCCGCCGTCAAATTCATTGAAAATCTCTTTTCCACCCGATATTACGTGCCCTTGAATTACTCCTCCTATGTCTCTAGTTCCTTCTTCGTCATTGGCTTGTTAGCCAATTATCTCTTCTACAGATGAATCGGACCTCGCTTCATCATCTTCGAAAAACTGATTTAAGTCGAGGTGGATAACAGGGTATCCAATTTCCGGGTTGTCGTCGACATTTAGCTCGATTATAATGTTCTCTGAAGATCTCGGTACTGCATCTTCTACGTCGTAAGGAGGTTCGTCAAATCTATCGGAATATTTGAAGCCATTGCAAATGTTTACTCATAATGTATAGTTCGATTAAATATCCATATCCATATTTATAGACCTCCTCGTGAAATTTAGCTCCTTGTTGAAAATTTTGAAATGTTGAATGTGAATTTTCATTTACCTCGTCGAAATTTTAGCTCCAAATCTGTAAGGTGTTGAAAAAATGAAGTTTTAGACACTTTGAGGAAGAAATACATAGAAGATGATTAGTTGCAGAGAAAATGGAGTTACTTTTTTTTATTTTTCCCTTTTCTTTGTGTTTGGTCCGATTCTGCAAGCCTTTGTATCTCTTTTTTTTCCTCCATTTTTCACTAATGGTCCACGTTATTAACTTTGTTTAATGAAGGTCATTGTTGGAAGAAAACTAACCCTTAATTACTATGCAAAAAGCCAAAACGACAATTAATATGAATAGGAGAGAGTATAACAAAATATAACTCTATTTTATCCAAACTACAAATCATTATGAAAACACAAATCTAAATTAATCCCCAATGTACAATCCAACAGCCATGTACTAATTAAGTTCAATTCCATCAGATGAAACAAGAGTCCCATATGTTTATTATGTACCAAAATTAAACTGCAAATGTTTCTCTAAATTTATATAAAGATGTGTGGAAGTAATATCAATCTATAAAGATGTGCAGTATTAGCCGATGCAATATAACATCAAGATCTCGATCCCCCATATTCATCTCCCACAAATCAAAATAACTTATCTGCTGGAGTTTGGACCAAATGCAAACATTTCCATCAACTTTATTGAATTGGGGTATCACAAGCTACAGTTCATGTGGCAACACAGATAATCAAACTATTCAAACATTACATGAACACAGCATAATCAAACTATTCAAACATTTTCAAAGCCGCTTAAACTAATAAAAAAATTCATAATCTTTTTCCACTAAAAGAACATTTTAGGAGATTCATCACTATTGCTGACAATCAATCATAAGCATGACAATCTCACTCGAAACAATCACACAAGCACGACTGACACCAAATCTCACTCAAAACATGACACAAAATTTAACAAGTCTTAAATGGTAACAAATATAAGCTCCAAGTACATCCAACTATTGAAAAGACGATATGCAAAAATACAAAATTCCATGTTTCTGAATAAAAGAGTCGAAAAGATTTCTGATAAATAAGGCATCGGACTCCAGAAAAATAAGACAAATCAAATGGAACTCAAATCTAACACAGCCAACTCCATCAGACACATCATTGTTAACCAACAAACCTGTCATTTGAAAATAACTATTATGTCCTTAATTTAGTACTTGATTGGAGCAATAATATCAAGTTGAGCACCAAGCTTCTCTTCAGCAACTTTCTCAGCTTTGACTCTCAATTTCGCCAACTGCTTCTTCCTTTCATAAACTACCTGGGCTCTGTCTTTCCTCTTCTTCTCCAATTCCTATGGAGTACCAAACATGAACAAGATAAGAATAAATAGTAGCATCAAATTTTATCCAATGGAAAAGGTGAAGATGATCTAGAAGAATAAATACCAGATAAGATGAGAGAACAAAAATGTTTAAAATATTCCACTCAAACAAAACAGGGTAACAAAAATCAAAGGAAACCATAGCAAATTATTTGCATATACTTGGTAACTAATTCACCAATATTCAGGGCGTCCAAAAAGTTAAAGAAAGGCTAGGAATATTATAAGTTGCAACATAATAGAAGCATAACAAATGATTCTAAATAAGTCAAAGTAAAGACTAATAAACAGCGACCCAACAGAAAGAATCAAGAGTACAGCACAGAAATAGTTACCCTGATGATATCGTAGTTGTTCCATCCAACTTCAGAAGAGAGTCTGCCCAACAAACAGTACTTGTGACCAGCTTGAAGCCTCAAAACCCTGCTCATCAAAGCAATGAATTACAATTTCGCACAAAAGAGATCGAATTTCAAGAAATTGACATTCAGCCAACTCACTTGAGGGCATCGGGAATAACCATCCTCTTCTTCTTGTCATACGGTGGTGGTACACCCTCATAAACCTTCAGACGAGCAAGAGCAGCTTCTCCACGTTTGGTCTTGTGAGGGATCATCCTGCGTACGTATCACAAGCCAATTGATAATTCAACATCAAGATCTGATTCACTATTCTTTAATGAAAACCCACGGAGTGTGCACGTTTCAATATACATTTGCCAGAAGTTGCTAAATAAAATAACATGAGAACCAAGAATGTTTTTAACAAAAAAAAAAAGGTAAACTAATAGAATAACTATACCATTATAGTTAAACAAGTCAAAAGAAACAGAAACAAAACCCTACAAGATTGATTGGAAAACAGATTACCATACCAATGTGTGTAATATACAAGAAAAGATAGGACAGAGATAAATGTAAGCCAGGCCTTAAATAAAAACAATGATACGGAAATTATTTTCATTCTATGCAACTCCCAATCCAGTAGTTCTTCTGAGCAATGTAAAATAAACTTTCTGCACTTAAATGCATAAAAGAAAATGGTTTTTAGAAACAATATGGAAGCCATAATGCCAACAACCCTACAATGCAATGTACAACTACTTAAAGATTGAGAAGAAAGTTGCCACGATTTAAAAAAAAAAATCAGAAAAATGCACGAAAAACACAGTGCCACACAGCAGTAGAATCCAGGAAACTCACGAACAATAGATAGAGGCCAAGAATACAGATCCAATACACACCCAAATAAATAGTACACTACGCAAGGAGAAAGGAATAATAAAGTAGCAGGCGGGACATAAGAGGCCAGAAGCCTAAGGTATATACATTTAGTAACCACTGTGCCCCGTTTTAGGCAATGTGTCCTGACAGAAAAATTATCCAATTTGTTAACTGATGAGTATAGTTAATGTACAGTACCATTGTTGTCGAACAAACATATTCAGTAAAGAATTAAGCTTGATATTGCTTTGAATTCAAAATTACTATTACATAGAAGAGCTGGCATAAACAATATGAGGTAACCGTTGGAGGGTAAGAATACTCAATGAAAATATAAGAACAAAAAAACAGCTCATACCCACGAATCGTCCTCCACAGAATCTTGGAAGGTGCGCGGAAGTGAATGGGGCCATGGGAAGGCTTGGTATTCATACGCTTGCGAAGGAAACGCAGGTACTTCATCTTCTGGCGCACGAGTCCGCCGGAAAGGCAGATTTCCTCGCAGCGTACAACGACTACCTTCTGTCCATTCAACAGCTCCTTGGCCAAGATGGAAGCGAGGCGGCCGAGCATGTGGTGCCTGGCGTCTACCACCACTCTCTTCGCGCAGATCCCTGAGCCGGACACCATTTTTCTCTCTCTATCTCACACACACACACTCTTGTCTACCGGAGGCGGAGAAATGGATGGGCGACGGTGAGGGGTTAGGGTTTTCGTTTGGTGGATTGTGATGTATTTAAACGTGGATAGGTTTTGTGGGTAGGGCTTTGGGTGCGCCTAGCATAATCTGGGCCAAAGCCCAATATTTGGGTGTTTGAGGACATTTTGCTTAAATCAAAATTATCTGGGCCAAAGCCCAATTAATACGCAACCAGCGATCCACTAAGAGACCATATTGTTTAGGCTTAAGGACACTGTATTTAGAAACCTATTCCCTTATGCCTCGTTTACAAGCCTTGATAGGATATGATAAGATTAGTTAACTAACTATATTCCTCGTTTACTAAATAGGATTGGGATAAGGATACATACAATGTGGCATGAGTTAGCGGGATATGTATCCTCGTTGGCGGGATAAAAAAATCCGGCCATTATGGTGTGATAAAATTATCCTTGGTCTTAAATGACCTTTATTTAATAAAAAATATTTAATTTAATTTCAAATAATATTATTTAATTTATAAAATATTAATTTAAATAATTTTATTTAATTTAAAATACTTTTATTTAATTTAGAATAATTTTATTTAATTTATAAAATATTAATTTAAAATAATTTTATTTAATTTAAAAAATATTNTAAAATAATTTTTTTAATTTAAAATAATTTTTTTAATCTAAAATAATATTATTTAATCTAAAATAACTTTATTTAATTTAAAATAATATTATTTAATTTATAAAAATATTAATTTAATTAATTTTATTTAATTTAAAAAATATTGTTTAATATAAAATAAATTTATTTAATTTAAAATAATATTACTTAATTTATAAAAATATTAATTTAATTAAATAAATCAGTAATTTTATTATTTGTCATAAACTTTTATCCACTTTGGTAAACATGGGTCAATTTGTATCCAAAATCTGATTTGACAAATTGGAGGGATTACTTTATCCAATCTCATCATCTCTAGTAAACGAGGCCTTAAGGAAAAAGCTATTTACTTTTTTGTACAACATTCAATGACAACATGATGTGGCATGATGTGGGTGGTTGAGATGCAAATAAATGTATAGTTGAGATTTGAGTCAATGAAGTGTATGCTCGGGGCCGATATGCAAAAGTAGAGGTGCAGCAGGTCGACGAGAGTGGGCCAGTGATGAACTTTGGACCTGCGGACGTGGGGGAAGTCGAGAGACCACACAATGATGCCCTGATGATAACTGCACAGATATCGGGATACGAGGTGCAAAGGGTGTTTGTCGATATAGGAAGTTCTATAAACGTGATTTTCTATGAATGCCTCAGAAGAATGGAACTTGACATTGAACTTACGCCTCTACATACATCACTCTTTGGATTCACTGGATCGGAAGTCGCTCCCCTAGGAGAAACCACGCTCGCTGTCGTCCTGGGGGAAGGCGACTTGAGAAAGGTAAAAATGGTGAGATTTGTGGTGGTCGATGTCGAGTCGGCGTATAACGTGATCCTTGGGAGGCCGGCGCTCAATACCTTCCAAGCAATGGTGTCGACTTATCACATGAAATTGAAGTTTCCCGTTGGATATCGAGTAGGAGAGGCTCGAGGGGACCAGAAGTTATCAAGAACGTACTACCAGATCGCGGTCAAAACTAACCAACGAGCTGAGGTCAAGGAGGGCAAAAAGCCGATGTCGAGTGAAAAGAGGCCGAGAGGGAGTGACCTCGAGCCCCATGAAGAGTTGATGGAAATTCAAATCGGTGAATCGGAAGACCAAACCACCAAAGTCGGGAGAGAGTTGGAGTACGAGTGGCGAGAGCAGTTAGTGGGATTGTTGAAGGAATTCAGGGACATATTCGCTTTCTCTCCTGAGGAGTTAACGGGAATCGACCCGGATGTTATGGAACACAAACTCAATGTCGACCCCCTCAGAAAACCTGTGAAGCAGCGACTCAGGCACCATGGCGCTGAAATCGACAAAGCAATTGAAGTCGAGGTGGACAAGCTGCTAAAAGCCAAACACATCAAGGAAATCCTATTCCCCGAATGGATACCTAACACAGTGATGGTGAGAAAAGCATTGAACAAATAGCGTATGTGCATCGACTTTCGTGACTTAAACCTGGCGTGCCCCAAAGATCACTATCCTTTGCCTAGAATCGATCAGCTAGTCGACTCCACAGCTGGCTGCGAATTACTGAGCATGATGGACGCATCTCAAGGATACCACCAAATCCCCTTGGCCGCGGAGGATCAAAGTAAAGTGAGTTTCGTGACGAGCAAGGGGACATATTGCTATGTCGCCATGCCCTTTGGCCTAAAAAAGGCAGGAGCAACTTACCAACGATTGATGGATCGCATGTTCAAACCCCAGATTGGTCAAAATATGAAAGTATACGTTGATGATATCTTGGTGAAAAGCAAGTCCTCGACTTCACACCCAGACGACTTAAGGGAAACATTCAAAACCCTTAGGACGTTTGGGATTAAGTTGTACCTGAGCAAATGTGCCTTGGAGTGAGGGCGGGATGATTTCTAGGCTATGTCGTCACAGAACGAGGAATTGAAGTGAACCAAGACAAGGTGAAGGCCATACTCGACATGGCTCCACCACGAAACATCAGAGAAGTACAAGTGCTGAGGGGAGGATCGCAAGCTTGAGTAGATTCATTGCTCGAGCGGCCGAGAGGAGTTTTCCTTTCTTCAAATTACTCAAGAAGAAGACGGTTTTCAAATGGAGTGACGAGGCGCAGATGGCCTTTGAAAAATTTAAGGAGTTCCTAAGCGAGCTGTCCTTGCTGACCAAACCAGAACCAGGTGACGAATTGATATTCTACATCTCAGTAGGAGAGTTTGCTTTAAGTTCAGTATTGCTGTGGGAAGATGGAAGTTTTCAACAGCCGGTTTACTACACAAGTCGAGTTCTCCAAGGAGCAAAGATGAGATACCCCGAAGTCGAGAAAGCCGCCCTGACGCTGGTTATAACGGCTAGAAAAATGAGGCCTTATTTTCTGAATCATACGATAGTGGTGAGAACAAACTTCCAATTAGGAGAAACATTGGGTCGACCTACTGTCTCAGGTCGACTCGTGAAGTGCGCAGTCAAGCTGAGCGAATATTCAATCAAGTATGGGCCTAGACGAGCTATTAAAGCCCATGCTTTAGCTGACTTCATTCAGGAGGGCACCAAGGAAGAGGAGAGGAAATGGATAATGCATGTCGACGGGTCTTCTGCGGCCAAAGGATCCAGTCTGAGAGTCATCCTCATATCCCCCGAGGGCGAGCAGCTCGACTTCGCCATCAGAATGGGGTTCAAAGCCTCAAACAATGAAGCCGAATACGAAGCGCTTATCAAGAGGATTCAACTGGCAATCAGTGGTGGAGCGAGAGAGATCGCAGCACATTCCGACTCACAACTCGTCGTCGGACAAGTGCTGGGAAATTGTGAAATTAAGAAGGATAGAATGATGAAATACGTCGAGGAGATTTAAAGCCTCGTACAAGGCTTGGAGAAGTTCGAACTGATACAAGTCCCGCGAGAAGAAAACAAACGAGCCGACTGGCTTGCAAGGATTACAAGCTCGAACGAAGGAAAGGTGGGAAATAATATCACCACAATGCACTTGGAAGGGAGTGTTCTAAGCGAGGCCATGGAAGTGGACGAGAAAGACGATTGGAGGAAGTCGATACGAGTTCTCTTACAGGATCGAGTGCCCACGGGAGACAAATAAGAGGCAGAAAAGACTGCTCGATATCTAAGCAAGTATTTTGAAGTCGACGGGATTTTGTATAAGAAGTCATTGGTCGGGCCCCATTTGCGATGTGTTTCAGTAGAAGAAGGAATCCATGTTCTGAAAAAAATCCATGAAGGATGTTGCGGAGCACACATGGGATCTCGAGCCTTAACTGGCAAAGCCCTGCGAGCAGGATATTACTGGCCTAAGGTACGGGCAATGGCGGAGAAACTCGTGCGAGAATGCAATAAGTGTCAGCGACACGGCCAAGTCACCCATGTTCCAGCTGAATATATGATGACAATCAACTCTCCGATTCCCTTTGCTCAATGGGGAATCGACTTGGTGGGCCTGTTGCCGATGGGGACGGGGCAAAGAAAATTCTAGTAGTCGCAGTCGACTATTTTAGCAAGTGGGTCGAGGCGGAACCTTTGGCTCGAATTACTAAAGAAAAGATGATACAATTCTTATTCAACAATATCTGCTGTCGATTTGGAATTCAAAAAGTGTAAATCTCAGACAACGGAATGCAATTCCAAGGAAAACGGATCCAAGCATGGTGTCTCGACATGGGAATTAAGCAGCGATTCGCATCAGTCGCACACCCACAAGCAAACGGGCAAGTCGAGGTAACCAATTGAACTATTCTCCAAGGGTTGAAGAAAAGATTGAAGAAAGCATCGGGAGCATGGGTCAACGAGTTGACAACAGTCCTATGGGCTTATAGGACGACTCCTAGGAGCTCGACGGGACAATCTCCGTCTCACATGGTTTATGGGATGGATGAACTACTGCCGATAGAAGTCGGCCTGGACTCCCACAGATCGACGTTCTACGAGGAAAAGAAAAACGAAGAGATGATCGAAGAGGCTCTCGACCTAATTGAAGAAGGCCGAGAGGAAGCCTGGGTGCAATCCATCGAATACAAACAGAAGATGCGAGCAGCCTTCGACAAGAAAGTCCGAACCAGAAGTTTTCAAATTGGGGATCTCGTCTTCAAGCAGGCCGACGCTCTCAAACATGTCGGTAAACTCGAAGCTAACTGGGAAGGACCCTATACCATCACAGAGGTGCTCGAGAGGGGAGCATATGAACTCAAAGATGGAGAAGGCCGACAACTCCCGCGATCTTGGCACGTAATCCATCTCAAACGCTTTTATGCTTAAGGTAATATTTCAAACTCCTTTTTGTACTGAACAATGTTTGAACCAAATTCAATGATGAAATGAATTCCAAAGTTTATGTTCCAATTATGTTTCTTATATGTATGCGTCGACTTGTATGATTACTTGAAAAATTGAATTTTTCAAAAGCGGCTATGTAGCCGGTTAACTCTAATGATTATGAAATCAATTAAACACAACTACGAAGTTGTAACTCTCGAGCAGAATCTCGAGCAGGCTACGAAGCC